AACTTAGACAGAAGATAATTTAAAATACAAATCTAATGTTAATTTTATGCATACACACACACAAAAGGTGTTATTTTTATTATTTGTTTAGTGTCACTATAAATTATTTACACTTTATCGAATTAATTGTTGTTAGATAAATTATTAAGATTAAATAAAATATGTTGTTCAATTTACAGCTTTAAAATTAAATTTATTAATAGCTTGTAAACAAAAAAAAAATGTGTGATATTTCTCATAAACATAAATTATTTATAACGAAAACAAACAACAACAATGTAATTGTTTGCAAATATATTATTTATTTAGTTTATTCAACTTTAATATGCTATAAATCTTTAAATTACATTCACTTTTCAATTAAGAAATGTTTCAATTTCACTGAAACTGTCGTCAAACAATTAACTCAATTTTAAACATGTTTTAAAAGTGTAATTAACCTCTCTGCCTTTAGTTTTTTTGCAATGTACTTTGTTCTTGCAATTGATAAAAGTATAAATAACTTTAATGACATTTAATTAATATTTTATTAACGATATTAAATTTGATTTAATGTTGTAGAAACTGATTGAAAAAATGTGCAATTAAAACATAAAAAGATAAAAAACAAATATGTATTTATAATATTTGCACTAAAATGATAACAAAATTATTTTAAAAATGTTTTTACTTAGAACTATTCCTAGTGAAACTTTAAAGTATATAAACATCAAGATTAAGTTTATCATTTTATGATTCATCTTTATTTAAAATTAACCGAATTTGGCTAAAATAATAAAGTAGGTTCCCGTTAAAATATTTAATATATTTTGAATTGTTATATTAAACTTAAAATGTAAAATAGTTGTTTTTTCTTTTTTAGACAAAATCATTTGACCATTTTTGTAAAATTTGGACAATAAATAAGTAATGTTGAATTGCCTTTTATGTAGAAAAACGTTGATTTTAACTTTTAATAAAAAACTTTCAAAAACAAAACTTTTTCCTAAAAAAAATGAAATTTTTTCTGAAGAAAAACTTTCCAATGAAAAATTGTTCAAAGAATAACTTTCCAATGCAACTTTGAAACCAATAAAACATTTTCTAGAGGAATACTTTCAAATAAATCTTTTAAAATATCGAGGGACTATATTCAATAGTCTCTATCTGTCATTTTCATGAAAATAAGATTTCGATGGCAAAATATCCAGCAAACTATGACGCATCAGTGACATACATTTCAAAAGAAAAAAATATTTTTTGGCAATTTTATAGCAATTTTTAAATTTCTCTCTCTTAAAAAAAGAAAAATTCTGAATGCAAAACTCTCTATCTTATCCAAAAATTGCTTCAAACTCTATTATTTTGGATAATTTTCTATTGCAAAACAAGTGTTTTTACTAATTTGGACATGCTGAACACAAATCCAAATCAAACCCAAACCCAAATCACAAAAATATTTTAAATCGGTTTAATAGTTTTCGAGATATTGCTCATTATGATACTAATTTGATTAATTTTATTGCCGTGTTTAACCATATTACATTGATTTTGGACCAAAAACTTATAATCTGTTGCTTTTTCAACAATTTGGTTTATATTACTTCATTAAATTGCATAAAATATAATATTTATTGATATTAAATCAAATAAAACATTTATATTTCTATGAAAAACTTTTTAAACTTTTAACTTTTTAGCTCTATCTCATATAAATTGGTGAATAATTTTGCAAATAATGCAAACTTTTAAATTCTTGTTATATAACGATTTAGAATATGGTCGTAAAAACATATTGTAGAAGAAAAAACTCAAAAATCTTCACGAACTAGCGAAATAAACAGTTTTTTTGCTCTCCTGAAAACTTGTGTTATTTTAGGTAGAGACTATTGAAGATAGTACCTCGATATCTTTATTCAACATTTTCCAATGAAATTTCACCTTAAGCCAAACTTTCAAAAGAAATTTTTTGTAAATAAAAACTTTCCAAAAAAAAAATTTAAAGAAAAGCTGTAAAATAAACATTTTCTCAAAAAATCCGTTTCAAAAAAAAAAAAAAAAATAAACTTTTTCTAAAGAAATTATTCCAATAAAACTTCTAAAGTAAAACCTTCCAATTAAACTTTTTCTATAAAAAAGCTTTCCAATTATACTTTTTCTGAAGAAAATTCTTTTAATGAAACTTTTTCTAATGAAAAACTTTCCAATTAAACTTTTTCCTAAAGAAAGACTTTTCAAAAAAAACTTGTTGCAAAAAAACGTTTTCTTAAGAGAAATATTCCAATAAAACTTCTAAAGTAACTTTCCTAAGATACTTTTTATGAAGAAATTTTTTCCAATAACACTTTTTCCAATTTTACTTTTTTCCAAAGAAAAACTTTTCAATAAAACATTTTTCCAAAGCAATGCTTTTCGATAATACTGTATCTTAAGAAAAACATTCCAATGAAACTTTTTCTAAAGATAAACTTTTCAAAAAATTCCAGGTAAAGACCTTTCAAATGAAGCTTTTTTCCAAAGCAAAGCTTTTTGATTATACTTTTTATAAAGAAGAACTATTCAATGAAACTTTTTTCCAAAGCAAAGCATTTCGATGACACTTTTTTAAAGAAACATTTTTTGAAACAAGGCAGGTAAACAAAAAGTTCCAATAAAACTTTTTCTAAAGAAAATATTCCAAAGACTCTATTGCTAAAGAAAGATTATAAAATATTTTCTAAATAAATCTTTTTAAGAAAAATATAAAAAAAAATAAAGAAGAATTTTCTGGAAGGAAAACTTCAGAAAGACAATTTTTAAAAGAATAACTTCTTCGGGGAGTTATTCTTTTAAAAATTCTAAAGTAAAGCATTCTAAAGCAAAAGTTTCCAAAGAAACTTTTAGTAATTTTAGCTAGTTATAATGAAACTTTTCTAAAAAGAAACTTGGAAAAAAACAGCTATAAGAATAACTTTGAAACAACTACGGAAAGAAGCTTTTTAAAAAAGCTTTTACTAATATATGAAAATAATGACTTTAAAACTGATCTAAAGAAAATCTTTGAAAATCTTTGATCTAAAGAACTTTGTTTTAAATTTAGAAAGAAGCTTTTGAAAATAACTTTAACCGGAAGCTTTTTTAAATAAACTAAACCTTTTCTAAAGAAAATAATGCCCTCCAGAGGAACGTTTTTTTAGAGAAATTGTTGCAAAATGAACTTTTCTAAACAAAAACTAATGAAAGAAACTTTTTGCAAAAAACTTCTAAAGAAAAAAACTTTGAGTAAAATTTAGGTTTTCACAGGTAGCCAATTTCGGCTTTACTTGGGTCCATGTTGATTCCTTTGTAAAAAAAATTTAGAAGCTTTTAAAAATAACTTTAACAGAAAGCTTTTAAAAATAACTTTAACAGAAAGCTTTTTTAAAAAAACTAAACCTTTTCTTTAGAAAATAATGCTCTTCTGAGGAACGTTTTTTAGAGAAATTGATGCAAAAAGAACTTTTCTTAACAAAAACTAAGAAAAGCAACTTTTTGCAAAAAAAAACTTCTAAAGAAATCTTTTTTGATGAAACTTTTTCTAAAGAAAATGTTTCTTTTAAAAAATTTTAAAATTTTTCCTAAAGGAACTTATTATGCAGCATACTTTTTTTCTTATTTAAAATGGTGCAACCATTTTTTAAATAGCAAATTGTTTGCCAACAAATTATTAGTATACAAATTATGTACACAAATGTCAAGCAATTTTTTTATGTATATTATTTACAAACTTATATTTATGTATATTAATCGTAAATGTATAATAAATAAATTTGGCAAACAAAATTATTTTTCTTTATACAAAATAATTAGAATAATACTAAATATGAAAAAAATCTAAATATAAAGAAAAGAATACAATATAAAGAAATCAATATAGGAAGATTTATTATGTAAAATACATGGATAGAAAAGTTATATAAACATTTTAGGGAGAAATTTGGATTCAGTTACTGAAGGGTGTATACTTCAGGAACTTTGAAAACTAAAATCGGATAGATTACAGAACATTGAGATTCGTTTTTTAGAGATATTAAAATTTTTAAATATAGTGTTGTAAACTACTCTACAAGAGCTACAGACTGCACCATTTGTACCAACGATTTATAGAATAAATTTAGTATAAAAATTTGTTTTATAAACCTTTCATAAATATAAATAAGTATGAATAAAGCCGTTATTGATCTCCTCAGTTGACAACACTGTTGTCAATTTTTTATAAAATTTTTTAAGTAAAAATATTTAAACATTTAAATTCCGTTACTTTTTTTCAAATTACATAACTAATTTTGGATTAGTTTCTAAATCTAAAAAAATCTTTACAAAACAAAATTAATCCATAGAAAAAGTTAAAAGAAACAGAAATGAATGCCTCATCATAATGTTTTTTTTTTTTTTTTGTTTATATAGTAAAAACAAACGCTTTTATTAATGATGAAACTTAACCTCCAAATAACCTTTACTTTGTAGGTTACACTTTATACAACAAAAATAAAAAGACCATAATAATAATAATAATAAAAAAAGAGAGTACTTGAGAAAAAATAACAACAAATAATAAAAAATATCAAACAAGTAAAAAATTTTGTTTTTGTTTCAAGTGGGAAAACAAACGTTGTTATAAAAATAAAACGTAAAATTGCAAAAAACAACAACAACACAAAGTATTATTAAAATGATGCGAAAAAAATATTTGCATAGAGCAAAATAATTTCTATATAGGATACGTAAGCTATTTATTAGTAAATGCAATATTTTGCTAAAAACAATTTCATTTAACAGACACTGGGGGCGAATGAATAAATGCGTCAGAGTAAATATTATAAGTAATTGTCTTTGTCTGTCTAGTATTAAACACAAATTATCTGCATAGTATCTAACAAAATATATTTAATTTTAGGTAAAATAGCACTACTAACAACAATATGGGTATAGAGAAATTTTGTGTAGCTACTTATTAAACAAACAAAAAGAAAATTGTAAAAAAAAAGCAATGTAAAACTTACCACCCACACCCAAGTTGGCTTTTTTGGCATTAGTATCCTCCTGGAAGGCACGGTTCAAGGCGAACACCTCAATGGCTGGTCCCTTTTCCACACAATCATAAATGGAACACGACATTTTGGTTTTGTTAGTTAAAAAGCCAAATGTATTAGAGAAAATAAATTTTACTAAGGAAATGGGGTTGATGACTCCAACTGATAAATTAAAAGTAAAAAACTTTAATTTATAATTTGCTCCGTTGAAAAAAAAACTTAACAAATATTTAGCACTGCAGTGTTTTTCTTTAATTTTTCGTTGTTGTAATAACCGGCGAAATAACACAAATTTAAATAAAATGTATGTATAAGCGAAAAATGAGGAAAGACCCGTGCGGTGGTGGTTAACGCTGCGTTTGCAAACGTATTATGTGACCGACTGACTGACTGGGTTAGTAAGAAACTTTGCCGGAATAACAAGAAGAAAATAAATGAATGAATATGAACACACAAAATATACACAATCTAATCGTCGTCTACAGAGGCAGTGAAAAAGCAAATAAGATTGTTTAGTCGGTCAAAGACGACTACACAATTCCCTGCATTAAAAGTTATATGTACGTTAAAACTTGGTGTGAATTACAGAAAAGTGAATAAAGTAGGTCTAGTAGAGTATTTCAAAACACCATATTTAAAATGTTTAATACCTATACCTCGGAAATCGGAAGTTATCCTAAAAAATGGATTTTTAATTGCTGTCAGACTTAAAAATTTTAATCTCAAATAGATAAACTTTTCTGCTCTTTAAAAAAGTATATACATTTCTATATTCTGAAGGAACATACCTGAGTTATTAGGAACTGAATCCAATTTTTTACCCTTTTTTGGAACTTTAAGTCCATTTTTGACGGACAGTTTTTTAAGAAAGGCTTTTTTCTTTTAGTACATTTTAGACCCGTTTGCAGTCTTCACTTCTTAGAAATAGAATCACAATGAACCTTATAGACTCCTAGTGCAGTTGATCCTTTCTATACATAACCCTTCCTGACCTAACCTAAGCCATATGGAACCATATAACATAAAATTAAACATACATACACGTTCGTGATTCATGACAACCCGTAAGAGAGAACAATTTGGAACTTTTTAGTTCCTCAAATGATAAATACAATTTTTTCTGAATTATCTCTAAGAGGATCTAATTGTACTTCTTCATTTTTTGTATAAAGTTTTTCTATTTATTGGGATAATGCCGATTAAAACGAATCTATTAGTTTGTGAGAATTAGGGCTAATTTCAATGGGACCCAAATTTTAACCATTACAAAACTGTGACCTGCATTTTGGTTATAAGATTCACAAGGACACAAGTATGAGCATAATAAAGTCTGAATATTATGCCTATATGACCCATTTTCCTATAATAATCCATTAATTTCCTTATGTTACAAACCAATGAATGAATAATAACCCCGCCGTAGTAGTATAACAACTTCGAGTAGATAAAAACCAACAAATTTTTCTGCCCGCTCAAGAGAAGTTAAAATGCAAAGCAATGAATTGATGACGTACACTAGTTTTATGATTTGTTTAATATTTTAATATCGATGAGGAACGGATGAAGAGTTTGTTGATAGAAACGTGCAGGGAAATAAATAACCATACATTAACACAACACACTCACCCGCACGTAGACATTAAACAATCTATTGTTTTGTTTATATCATTTGTTTGTTTTGTCTGTCTATTGTTTTCTCTCACCACCATGTAATAGGAAAAATAATTACTATTACAATTTGTGTATCTTTTTTTTTTTGCTTTAATAATTACACGTCTCTTCTTTATATTTACTATTATAGCAGCACATTTTTCACCCTCGGATTTTACCTGTGCTAAACCAGCTGTTTTATTGCCATTTCCCTCTTTTTTTTTAAGAAGATAAAACAAGCATTTAATTTTTTGTTTTTATTATTTTTTGTGTCACAATGACAGCAATTCATTCACAATAGTTTGCAAAAAATAAATTCTTTGAAGAGAGAGGAAGTGCTGTTGTGCACAGAAAATTCGTTAAGCTGCGCACAAGGCGAATTCACATAAGGTGGTGGCAGTTCGTCATCAGTAGCATTTTCCATTTATTTTGTATTTGGTCCGCACTAATTAAAGTTTTTGTGAAATTTTTATATTTTATAAAAAATAATCATCAAAATGAGAAACAAAACAGCAATCGTGATTTAATTTTAGACAAGTTGGTACCTAGAAAGTATACTGTAAAGAATCATAATCCCTTGCCCCCAAGTCCATTTTAGATTTTGTTTAAAAAGCCTATATAACAACGAAATTCGACATAAACAAATAAACAAAATACACAAAGCAATAAAAGCAACACCTATCCAAACATATGTTTTTTTCAATAAATAATGCTGTTGTTGCTTCTTTGTCAAAGCAAAAATAAAATTTTTTGATGAAATTTTCAGAGATTGTCTCTGATTTTTGTTCATATCTCCGTTATTTATGGACGGATTTTGTTGATTTTAAATAGGAAACTTCTCGAAAGCATGTCTGACAGAATTATTGAATTATTTGGATTCCGAAGATAACAAAAATTTCTTCTAGAAATTATCTGTCTTTGATTAATCCAAACTCCACTAAAAGACATATTCCGAAAATTTTCCTAATGTTTTTATCAATATGGATAATTTTTAAAAATTTCGAATAAAAAATGCAATTTCGAACATACGTTCTTTGCATTAAGTTCACTAAAATTCTCAAATTCGTTACGTTTTATCGAAGTCCAAAAATTATATATTTGAAGAATGAAGTTTAATATCGAATTTTTTCTAAACTAGTTATCCGATTTTATTATTATTGGTTTCAAATTAATGTTATGTTTCTAGCTTGGCAGTTCTTTTTAAGAAAGGTTATTTAGATTACTATGGCAGCACTGTAATATTTTTTGTCTATTCACAATAGTGCTATGATTAACAAAATGTAGAGATGACAGAATGGCGATAAAACCAGCTCTACAAGGATAGAGAAGATATAGTAACAATGATAATAAACAAATTAAATTTAATTTATAGAAACGGTTATGAAAACTGAACTGAATTAAATTTAAAACACACTTTAATTATTTTGTTCTATATATTGAATATTTATTTGATTCAATTAAACTTGTTGAATATGATATTTATGTATATTTTTAAATGAGTTAATTGTATGTGTTTTTAAGATTAACATTAAATTTGAAATAACACATATAGAGATTATGAATAAAATATGTATTAATTTTTTTTCCAAAGTTTTTTGATCCATTTTATAAATCAGCAATTATTATTCAGATATTTAATAAGTATTTTTGTTGAATAATTTCAATTTTTCTTGCTAAACTACTAGAAGCCCTAAAAGACTTGTTAAATATTTAATACTCAGCAGAGTTTAGAGTTCTTTTCTGTTGTATTTGGTTGATAAACATAAGTTAAACTAAATAGTTTAACTAAACTCACGATTGGTTAATATGGCAGGAGCTACCAAACTCCAACCATAAATTAATATACCCAACCAACTGGATATGATTTTAATCCACATAGAAGCGGCATTGGCATTGAAGAGTTCAATATCGGAATTGGGTCTTGAAAGAAACAATTTAATTAAATTTAACTTGTAAAATAAAAAATTTATATACATTCAACTTACTTGTACCAATTGGTTAGGGTCATCATAACATAGAGCGAAGCACAAACAAATACTATATGGAACGTAGACCAGGAATAGGTAACACCTTCGGTTTCATTATCACCCTTGTTTTTGGTATCACCTGAACCTGCTTCTGCATCTGATAAAACTTCTGTTAAAACTATTTTTCATTAGAATTTGTATCGTATTATAAGATTATTGAAATACATTTATTGTTGTTAGTTTGTTGAGTGGAGTAATATTGGTTGAGGGTCATTGTTTAGCCCAAAAAAGCCATAAAATATGTATTTACAAAAATTGTTACAAAAGAAAAAAAAAATAAATTGGTGTTAGTTGTTAATAAAAATCAAAATTTATAAAGCAGAGGTGAGTATTTTTTATGTGCGGCTAATAAATGTGTATGTATAAAATGAATTTGATGTACGGTTTCCTTATAACTTTTTAAAACTTTAAAACCCTATTTTTTGTTAATTAAATGTTATCTTTCAGAATAAAAGTTGAAAATATGTATGCCTTTTGCGAAAAAGAAAAGAATATAGATAGAACTCACCACGTTTTTCGTCGGTATTATTAATTTTGGAAACCTCAACAGCCGAGCTAATGCAATTGTACAAAATGCACAACATCCATACCACTAAACCAATAATATTAGTAGTGTCAAAGGTAACTTTCGAATTGGGTGTTGGAGGAGCTATGGTTGTGACACTAGTATTGCCCTCGATAATACCAAACATGCCGGGATTGCAAACTTTTTCTGTAAAAAGTAAAATATAAATAAATTTCCAATATTTTTTTTAGCTTGGGTATATAGGTACCAGGATTGTTAGCTACTGCCGACCAAGTCAAATAAATGGTATACAATGTAACCAAAGAGCTTTGCAACAAACCAGATTGGGGTAAACGTTCTTGAACCGCTGGCAAAACGGAGACAATACTGACCAATAGGCATAGAATTAAGTTAATGGAGATGAAGAATTTATTAAGGCCACACTCGGAGCTCTTTAAATAAAAAGTATAAAAATATGCTTTAGGTTATCAAAATTTTAGGTTTTTACAATTTTTTCAATCAATTACCTGTGTAAAGTATACATAGAGCAGTGAGATGCCAGCAATGGATAGGCCATAACTTAGCAATGTTACAAATACCAAAGCATAGTAATAACCACGATTATTTTCAGCATTATCTGCATAAACAACAAATATATTAATTATCTTTATAATAATTATAAACTTAAAAGATAAAACTTTATAAAAGAGAACTTATTGTTCACTACTATAAATTCTTTCCCAAATACATAAACTCACCAATCCAATTTTCTGCAATTGTGTGAGCAAAATCCACAATGATGATCAATTGTACCAAAATGAAAGCCAGGCCACCAATCAAACCCACCCACATCATGGCCGGACCAAATGATCCATCCGGTATGAAAATGGCACCAATAGCTGCACCAAAACAAATTAAAAACTTCAAAGGCCAAAATTCGTTTTGTATATGAGATCGTGGATCTCGTGACGACTTCACCCCCAGCATTATCAAAGCCATTAGAGTAAAGAAACAGGCGAGACCAAAACATATACGATAAACAGCCATATAACCCAGAGCATAATCACAGTCGACTTGTAGAGAACCACCCGAAAATGTATCCAAAGCCTTAGAACTAACCGTAGAAGTGGAATTTATACAAAAAGGTAATTTCTTTAAAGTGCCCTGCAAGCCGGGAGATAAAGCAATCGCACCCAATATGGTGCCCACTAACAGCATAAAGGCATACATGAAACGTGAAGAAGTGGAATTTTTACATGAAGGACAGGCGCTGCAGCACATACTGGCAGCAGTGCCAGTGCAGCAAAGGGCACACTGTAAACAAATTAAACAGAAAATTAACCATCAAATAGCTCTTTCCAATATGAGTCATTGTGTACTAAGTGCAAAATAATTAAATTAAATCATAACAACATACTCAGAAGAAGAATAATAAATAAGTTTTTTACTTATTTAAGATAATGATATCGATTTTTTCATTTTCTGCTTTGTTTACATTGAAAAAAAAAAACAAAGACTTTCTTTCAAACTTCCAGATGTTGCTTAAAATTTTCTTACCTGTGCTGCTGAACACAGTCCTAAAACTGCTCCCATATTGTTTTATGTAAATTTAGTTATTTATAAACTTTAAATTATATTGTTAAATAATTTTTAAAATATTGTTAAGGAAATATTTCACAATCTACGTTGTTCTCTAACTTTTGTCATCAATTTAATAAAAAAAAATATACACAAAAACTAGCACAGCTGTTTTGTGACAAGTTGTCAAACATTGAAATCATTCACAATAGTTTTTTTTTTTGTACTGAAATTCGATTTGCAATTGTAGCGATAAGCGACAGCAATTAGTGAAATATTTAAACTTATAAAAGAATATATAATTGATGAACTAATGAAGGAGTAGAACTATTTCAGATTTTTTATTAAAAATTTCTAATAAATTCTAAAGAACTGAACTTGAAGTGAACTAAAACTGAACTAGAACTGTACTAGAACTGAACTAGAACTGAACTAGAACTGTACTAGAACTGAACTAGAACTGAACTAGAACTGAACTAGAACTGAAATAGAACTGAACTAGAACTGAACTAGAACTGAACTAGAACTGAACTAGAACTGAACTAGAACTGAACTAGAACTGAACTAGAACTGAACTAGAACTGAACTAGAACTGAACTAGAACTGAACTAGAACTGAACTAGAACTGAACTAGAACTGAACTAGAACTGAACTAGAACTGAACTAGAACTGAACTAGAACTGAACTAGAACTGAACTAGAATTGAACTAGAACTGAACTAGAACTGAACTAGAACTGAACTAGAACTGAACTAGAACTGAACTAGAACTGAACTAGAACTAAACTAGAACTGAACTAGAACTAGAACTGAACTAGAACTGAACTAGAACTGACCTAGAACTGACCTAGAACTGAACTAGAACTGAACTAGAACTGAACTAGAACTGAACTAGAACTGAACTAGAACGGAACTAGAACTGAACTAGAACTGAACTAGAACTGAACTAGAACTGAACTAGATGTGAACTGAAACTGAACTAGAAGTGAACTAAAACTGAACTAAAACTGAACTGAACTAGAGCTGAACCAGAACTGAACTAAAACTAAACTAGAACTAAAGTAGAACTAAACTAGAACTGGACTAGAACTGAACTTGAAATAGAACTAAATATTATTATCTCACCACAACGTAATTATTTCACTTAATGAAAATTTACTATAGGTACCTACGTATTTTACTTATTGTTCTGAGTATATTGTAGAACAGCATGGTTGTTTATTTATCAAAATTATTTTATATACGTTAGTAGTATGTACTAATTACAAATATAGTTATTTTTATATAATTAGAACAAATTATGTAGTTTGCAACAAATTATTTAATCGATTTTTAATGAGGCATTATGTTTAGAGATTATTCGAAGTCAGTTAAACACACTGACTGTATTAGCGCAATCCAAAAGTATTTTTTCGCTTCCAAAAAGAAAAATTAAATAAAAAATATTTAAATTATATTTAACCGCCAAAAGATAACAAAATCCTAACCACACGAGCAAATGAATAAAGATTTTTTTTGTGGATTGTGCGTTTCAAATTGAAAACCATAATTAGTTGGTTAAAATCACGAAGGATTAATACAATGGATGTGTATGGAAATTATAAAAACTCATCATCATTAGCATTGCTGACACTTGTTATTCTGCTGATGATTTGTATGCATGTGTCCTCAGCAGCCAGAGATCCTCTACGTACAATTGTTAAATTCACCGATATGCGTTGCAGAGCCACAGCACCGCAATTAATGTACTTTAAAGAGTGTACTCTGAAGCGTGATGAGAATATAACGAAAGCCATCACATTGTGTCGCATTTACGATAAACCATTGAAACAGGTTAAGGTAAGTTTAGTGAAAACTTGATTAATATTAGGCGGATATTTAAATTATTTGAGGAATTTTGGGAAGCGAGCAACTTTAAACATATATGTAGGTCAAACACAATACATACACATGTATGTAAACAGTTCAAGATCGAATTTTAAGAATTAAGTAAAAGAGTCTGAACTAGAACAGAACTAGAACTGAACTAGAACTGAACTAGAACTGAACTAGAGCTGAACTAGAACTGAACTAGAACTGAACTAGAACTGAACTAGAACTGAACTAGAACTGAACTAGAACTGAACTAGAACTGAACTAGAACTGAACTAGAACTGAACTAGAACTGAACTAGAACTGAACTAGAACTGAACTAGAACTGAACTAGAACTGAACTAGAACTGAACTAGAACTGAACTAGAACTGAACTAGAACTGAACTAGAACTGAACTAGAACTGAACTAGAACTGAACTAGAACTGAACTAGAACTGAACTAGAACTGAACTAGAACTGAACTAGAACTGAACTAGAACTGAACTGAACTAGAACTGAACTAGAACTGAACTAGAACTGAACTAGAACTGAACTAGAACTGAACTAGAACTGAACTAGAACTGAACTAGAACTGAACTAGAACTGAACTAGAACTGAACTAGAACTGAACTAGAACTGAACTAGAACTAGAACTAAACTAGAACTGAACTAGAACTGAACTAGAACTGAACTAGAACTGAACTGGAACTGAACTAGAACTCAACTAGAACTGAACTAGAACTGAACTAGAACTGAACTAGAACTGAACTAGAACTGAACTAGAACTGAACTAGAACTCAACTAGAACTGAACTAGAACTGAACTAGAACTGAACTAGAACTAAACTAGAACTAAACTAGAACTGAACTAGAACTGAACTAGAACTGAACTAGAACTGAACTAGAACTGAACTGGAACTGAACTAGAACTCAACTAGAACTGAACTAGAACTGAACTAGAACTGAACTAGAACTGAACTAGAACTGAACTAGAACTGAACTAGAACTGAACTAGAACTGAACTAGAACTCAACTAGAACTGAACTAGAACTGAACTAGAACTGAACTAGAACTGAACTAGAACTAAATTAGAACTAAACTAGAACTGAACTAGATGCTTTACACTATCTTAATGTATAGACAATAAACATTTACCCATACTGAATACACTCATATTGATTCATTGCCCTTATCCTCGTCCTATTTTTTCCAAAATTTTTTTCCACAGCTCAATGTTCGGGGCTATCGTAAACGCAATGTTGGTTACGTTCCCTTTGTACTTGATCTAACATTGGACTGGTGTGATTTTTTGAAAAATCGCAATAATATAGTTCTGCAGAGTATGTTTGGTTTGTTAGAGAAAGAATCCAATCTCAATACCACGTGTCCCATATATGTAAGTTAATGCTTTGAAATGAATTAATTTATTTTTGGATATTCTTTTGTATTGTGTTACAGTTAGATTACACTTACATGAATGCCAGCATGGACAATAATGGAGTATTTGCTATACCCTTCAAATGGCCTACAGGAGATTATCGTTTTGATATAACTATAGATGCTAATGAGGAAATTCGTTTAATTGTAAATGCATTTTTTAGTTTAAGACGATAAGGGGCAGATTGTAATTTGGGGTTTTTAAGTAATAAAATATAAAGAAATTTGGGCTTTAACTTTTTAAGAAATGTGTTTATTAGATCGGTTCACAGAGAATTAACTCGCCTTACAAATTTTTGTTTTGTGTAATTTTGATTTCCAAATAGCTGGACCAATATCAAAAATTGAATTTTTAGCTACTTTCTTAGCATTCGATTATACTTAAATATTTTGTAATTACTTTTTATGCTCAATAGTAAATTTTTCACCTGTATAATTTATCAATTATACACATATTAAACAGTTTAATTGATCAACAGATTTCCCTTTTGAAAACACAAGAATTTTATGTTTTATTTTTATTTTTTTTTTTGCAAATCATTCAACCGTAATATTCAATTAGTTTACCATTTAAAAAAGTAAACGATGACTTGGAATAATTTGTTGTAAATATTTTTTGTTTTTGTTAAAAAAATTTGTGAAAGGATACTACAACCATAAATCATGTACTTTTTTGGTTTTGCTTCCCTTTTTTTCGAATAACTAGTGAAATTAATGATGCATGTTTATATTTACATTTAGAGTTCCACGTTTTAAATGATTTAACAGATTTCTAAATGATTTGCAAATTAGTCTCGCGATGCACGATTTAAATCACACAAACCGTAATTGTACATCAATAACGTTCTTTTAAAGTATCATGTTTAGTATGCAATAGTTATATATAAAACTTTGAGATTTCTTGTCAAAAGAGAGGTGGCAGGATTTCTTTTGCTTCTTTTTTCTATTAAATACAAACAACAAAGTATATATATTCCGGGTCCTTATGAAATTCTGAGTCTATTAAGCTACGTCTGTAAGTCCGACTGTTTGTCTGCCTAAAACATGCTCACGTTAAAGCTAAGCAAAGGAAATCAAGCAAAATCACACGCTATTCTTTCCGACCAGGGATCAATTATGTTCAAAATCGTAACTAAATTTTTCGTAGCCCCCAAATGGCACATATTCTCGTAAATGTATTTATCGTTAACAACTCGCTCACCATAAAATTTTACAGATGTAAATATAATATCAATAAAAATCAGAATACTACTCTAGATCTTTATTGAGAAGCGTATGAATATCGAAGTGCTTTACGTGAATACCTGCGGTGTTGGCCTTATTTTACGGTGGTCTTTTCATCCACAGTGTGAGCTTCTTTGATAACTCACCACCGTCCCTTTGTGTATCTTACACTCAAGTGGCAATTTTTGTACATAGTTCTGCCGGTACATGTATAAGCGCTTTGCTCAAGTACTCGACCTATCTATTCTCCAATTCTGTCTGCACCTAGAGACGTATTCGTTAGACCGCAACACGAATCCAATAAATAAGCTGAGGACTTTGTTCTTACTCACAGAGAACACACTGTGGTAAATCTGGTGTGAACAGAGTTTTCCCTCCATTCAACCCAGCACACTTCTCATTCATTAGACAGACCAAAGAGAACAACATCCGACACACTTAATATTGGTATAGGGCGGGCAAGATCCGCATACCCCTACATTCATCCTGTATCACATACACTTAATACCAACTAATTTTTAACGCTTAGTCCCACAGTCACTCCTCTGTGGGGTATCTGTTGACTTCTGCAACAGCACCGAACTTATCCCGAATTGTAGATTTTACGTGCATCAGTCTTTTAATCGCCACCATTCTGCCATGCGGTCTATCGGGTCCCGTGGTACCAGAATGATTTGACATGGAGTCAAATAATTCCAAGGAAAGGCCGAGGATACATTAGGTCATCACCAGTATATAGTCCCGTCAGACTAGAGGTACTAGTAGCACATCTTTTCCTCTGGATTGTGATCACACCAAGATGGGGTCATTCATCAAGGTAACATGCTCGCGGCTCGACGTGAGAAGGGTATATATAAGTTTGTCATTCCGTTTGTAACTTCAACAATATAATTTTTCGACCCTATAAAGTTTATTCTGAATGCTTATAGATAGCCATGTTCGTCTGTGAGTCTGTTTTCTGAAGACCCCAGATATCTTCGAGATCAAAATCTTCAATAATTCTGTCAGACATTCTTTTGAGAAGTTTCCTATTTGAAATTAGCAAAACTTACCCTATTAAGAATGTTAAACATCGGGTCATTTTTAATACTAGCCCCCATATGACAACATTCGGAAAATGTCTTTAACTCTCAATTTTTATATGGACCAAATCTATCTATGAGGTTTCAAGAGGACCGGTCTATTATTAACCCTACTAACCATATTAGCCCCAGATTCTACATTACCGAATATAATACTGTTACTCGTTTCCTTTTACTTTTTCCACTTTTATATATAAACGAACAAGTCTACCATACCCCTTCTAACGTATTGCAAATCGTAGTAAAGTCAAATTTACTTGATACCTATAGGTATAAAAAAAACTATTATATATAAAACGATTATATATAATCGTTATTTGTTATGGAAATTCCCCATGGTATACTATAAAGTACATATCCCTGACAGTTTTGTTTTTTTATACCCTCCACCAACGTCAGTGGTGATAGAGGTTATATATAACTTTGTCATTCAGTGTGTAACACCAAGAAATATTCATATGAGACCCAACAAAGTATATATATTCTGGGTCCTTATCAAATTCTGTGTCGATTTAGCTATGTCCGTCTGTCTGTGGAAAACACGCTCACTATAAAACGAAGCAATAGAATTTAACCAAATTCACCCAAAATGTTCTTCATTTTCCTAAGTTGTTTGGTATTGAAAATGGGCAAAATCGGTTCACACCAGGAAAAGTTATGAATCAAAATTTAAAACAACCTCGAAAAAAATAAGCATTTTTTACATATTCTGATGTAATTTTCTCGAAAACTATGCAAGATAATTCCATGAAAATCACCATACATTCGTTTCTACACAAGATCTTGATCCCTACTGAAAACTACTAGAATCGGTCTACAATTTCATGTACCTCCCATACAAAAGTACATATTCCCGGAAAATGGGTTTTTTGTTCATAACTTCCGTTAAAATGTTGATATCTTCACAAATCCCATACAAGGTCCTCTCCAGTAAATCTTGTAATTTTTCTATTTAAGACATGAGAAAACTTATTTCTACAAATATTTGATCAATTAGAAAAGTATTAATATAAAAGTAGCTGGTGGAGGGTATTTAAGATTCGGCTCAGCCGAATATAGCACTCTAACTTGTTTTTTTCTATTATTTCTATTTGCCTTGATAACATCCGTAATACTTTATTTGAATGTCTAAATCTGTCTTTGAAACAATCAACTAAGGAAAAACTGTATGTAAATGTGTAAATGGATGGGTGTATTCGAGAGTGTGTAGTACAAGAGAACAAAAAAAGCTTTTTGTATAATTTTTCAGTTTAGAATACATTTTTATCCTTTTTAATCATACTTGACAATAATTGAAATGACAAATATAACTGGTGATTGTTCAGGCTTTAGAAATTTAGTTTGTGTGAGACGTTCACGTTTTTGTATTTGTCTTGTGATATAGTATTATTTAAAGATGTGGTAAATGTGCGTATTTATCAATGGGTTTTTATAGAAATATTTGCATATACCGTTATTTGTAAATTTTTTCCTTTAATATTTGATATTTTAAAATTTTCTAAAAAAAGTTTCTACTGTGTAAATTAGAATGTAAAATACACAAAAAATTTAAATATGTTCATTATAAATCTGTTTCTATTATTTGAGTAGTTTAAATACATATTAGTAGTGTATTCTATATACTTTTCATTGAGCAACTTTTACTTGTAATTACAAAATTTTCATTAAATTTATTGCAATTTACTTTGTGCAATCATCATTGCTGTATGTTATGAAAACTTTTTTTGTAGAAAATATTATTTAATTTGTTTTTTTTTTTTGTAGTCACTCATGTTTCAACAAAACACACCTTAAGTGGTGGTTATATTTATCCTGAAAACCTACAGCGACACATAAAAAATAAATGATGAAAAAACCTTGTTGTATTTTTATTAAAAACTCATACTGTGAGCGCTTTTATTTTTCAACAGGAAGTTGAAAATCAAACAATAGTCATTGTACCCATGAAAATAAAGTTTTATATTTTTTAGTCCATATTATTGTGGTAAATTTTCTTTTATTTTGTGTTGTTTTTTGTTTTTGTAATTTAAATTTTATACGACAAAGTAAATAAAGTTTTGAGCTTTTTATTTTTTACTAGGCTGTACATCATGTTGAAAACACTTTATAAACAATCACATTTATCCACATCACTGCAATAAATGTAAAATGTTTTACGGGAAATTTTGGTCAACTTTAATGAAAATTAAAGTGAAAATCAGTAAAAATGTGTTTGATTTAAAGTTAAAATGTGTGTGTGGAGAAAATAATTATGATGTTTAAATATTTACGAATATTTACTTAAGTTATGGAAAATTTGGTTTGTAAAGAAACATTAATTGTGGGAAAATATTTTGTATGCACATGACGTACGGGCGATAATTAATTAAATTTGTAATATAAAACTGAGTAATAATGTTTCCCATCTGTTTGCGGTGCGTATGAGTGCTATTATGTTAAATAATACGTATACGTATAAAAGTGCATTGTAATTTAAATAATATTTAATTAAATAAGATACAAAAATGCGCGATTCACAATGATTATGTATGTTTTGAATAAGCCGATTTGACTCCAAAGCCAACATCTTAATATTTGGTGGAAATCTGCGCAGATTATCACAGGGAACCTGTGCCGAATAAAAGTGATGTGATGCTAGAGACAATTGGTTGGAAAGTTTTGCCTCGCCCGCTATTTGTTTCCATCACCACCGAATGCTCTCTCTCTCTCTCACTCTGGGATACCCATAACTTCAGAACGGGATATCCGAAATTGGCATGATTGGTTCTTGGCCTCAAAAAAGGCCGCGCGGATTCCATATGTTGGCAGAAAGATGTGAGTAACATTTTGATATGTTTATGTTCATTTTAAATTTTATTTTAATTAAATATA